ATCCACCTTATCGGTTCATCGCATCGGAAACAAAAAAGCGAAAGAATTTGGAACGATGTTTACTTTATTCAGTTCAGTTATACATACAATCAGTGTCAGTCGCGTGTGAATAGTATCTGTTGCGTTGCTCAAACGAAATAAAAAATGGCACATGTTTATGCGGATCGGTTTCCCAATCGAGTGCAACCAACCCCTCGTGCCTTTGTTAATAGTAGTACAACGGGCTCGTGAATCAGGTGACTTCAGACCTCACAGGGGACCTCACGATCAAATACAGGTCCGCACTGAAATACTTGTCGGGAGGATACTTTATAAAACAAGGTAAAATTTTTTTTTTATTTTTTTTTATTTTTACACACATATTTTGGTTTATCTTCCTTCTACAATCATTATCTGAAAATTAATGACTCAACTTCAAAGTCACCCTGTATATATCAAAAGGTCATTTTCACCCCTATATTTTGCTGATAAGCGTCCACCACAATGTAGGATACCCCTTATAAGGATTTTCTGATATATCATTCTATTTTGAGATAAACTGATCCTGTGCACACTGCACACTATTTTAACAAATTTCAAAAAAAAAGTGTACAACCCGTAAAAATAAGTGAACATAAAATAAATGAGCACGTACCATTTTCCCGGGATTTCTGTATCGCCGTATCTGCGAAGTCTTCCTTCTCTCTTCCCGTAATCCAAAGGTGCAAATCACTACAAGCACTCACAAGCACTTATTCCACATTCGATTCGCACATTTTCCTAGGACCGACAGAGTTTTTCCTCTGAAAACACAGAAATTATTGCTGCCTAAGAGCCCGTGTAAGAAGTCCACGGTATCTCTGATGCTTTCCTTCATTCTTCCCGTAATCAAAGGTGCAATCCACTACAAAAACTGACAATCACTTAATCCACGTGCCACGAACACGCTTTTCCGGATGCGGCCGAATTTTCCCTTCGAAAACACTGAAAATAACGCTCCCGAAAAGCCCGTGTAATAGTCCCGCGAAGACTGTTTAAAACAATTGCAGACGCCAGACGTTTTTCTAGGATTTGAAGTTGGCCGTAGTCGAACTCAGTTCTGAGAATTATTCGAGACCTGTTTGTATTAGCAAAGGCAATTTCCTTTATTTTAATTAATGTCTGTTATATGAGAGGTACCTACTGCAGTTACATGAATATGATGGCAAAAATATAGATAAATCATATTGTGATATTCTTCAGTTGTAAAATGTTATGTTTCTAAATAACATATTAACTACATATCAACTAAATAAGGGTCATTCTAAAACGAAATACTGAAATTCGGTCTTGCAAACGGTGTCAAGTGGGCTGACTCTGCATCTTACTTGAAGTTGAATGAAATTTGTTGCGTGTTGGTTTTCGTCAAATTCTGTCATAGTCCAGTCAAATCGCGCTCAAAACAGGAACTCTGTTCGGTATATTTATAAATTTATTTTTGTGTTCTGCAACTGTCTCATAGATGGCGCTGATATCTTTCAGTATTAGCCAGTATATGGTTGGCTATCTTCCGGTAACATAGGATAATCAATGTTTGAATTCAGGAAACAGAAGTTGTTTAAAGCTTCTTATCCATAAAAATGAACTACTCAAAATTTCAAAAGTTTCTTAATCTTAGAAATGTTTTCTGCCTACACTTTAAAACAATCTGGCATTATGAAATACTGTGAAACAAAATTATTTCCATTATTTTGCTGATACATAATACAGGATCCGTCAGAAACAACGCATGTTTTTCTAATGGGTACTACATCGAGTGGGCTGATCCCGTGTCGGTGGGGAAGGGCGTGTTGGATAGTGGGAGAAGTGCCGTTTCAGTTGGCAAGATGGTTTATAACGTTGAGCATCGCGTATTCACTGTACTTTCAAAATGGCGAGTCTGTCGTTCGAACGCAACGTGAGTTTCGCGTTCACTTTCGTATTCCACGTCGTGCCAGTTCCCTAGGGATCCACGCGTCCTTACAAAATCCAAGTTTGTCAACAACTGTTGCCAGGGGATTATGCACAACGTGTTAATTTTGCACAGCGCATCATTGAACAGTTGGCTAAGAATGACATGGCGTTGTTTATGAGTGATGAAGCACATTTTCATTTACATGCACACGTCAATAAACAAAATTGTGGATATTGGTATCCAGTGAACCCCCAACAGTTTCATGAGCACCCCCTTCATACCCCGAAAGTTACAGTTTGGTGTGCAATAGGCCCAACGATGATTATTGGCCCTCATTTTTTTTGAGGATGATTGAGAAACAACTACTGTAAATTCAGAACGTTACATCCACATGCTGCACAACTTTTTTTTTCCGGAACTTCGACGTCGACGTGTCCGTCTCAGAACAGTGTGGTTCCAACAAGACGGGGCAACACACACAGCTCGCACTTCGATTGAAGTTCTTCGGCAAGAATTCCCCCCTGTCAAGGTGTGATTTTTGTATGGGGCTACATGAAATAAAAACCAAAGCAAGCCTCGGACCCTCGTCATTTGAAGGACGGATGCTGGTCGACGCAATGGGCTCTTTTCGGGAAAGGCTTGATTCCTTCATTTAGGCTCAAGGGCGCCATATGGCCAACATAGTTTTTAGAATGTAAATTTTGTTTTAGTCAAAAAAATTGCATCTATTTCTGACTATTTGATATAATATTTTTCCCGTACTGGTTTTGACTGTACTACTCATTTAAAAAACATGCGTTCTTTCTGCCGAACCCTGTATAAGAATTAGTACTTTCTTATTCTTTTCTTTTAGGACTTTGCTCATTGTTTGCGTCGTTCATAATTGAGTCTTTACCCAAGACATGATTATTTAGAAAAATTCTTCCTTACAGTGAATATTTAATACGTTTACTGCGTTGGCTAAAAACCTAAGTTGGCCTGATATGCGTTACGGGGCAAACTTGACTCGTACTGAGTTGGCCCGACATGCGTTACGGGTGAAATATACCTCGTAGTCAACAATAAAGTTCTAAATAACCACACAGTAATAATTTACCTTTAATCTTAAGCCAGGAAAAACTAAAGTTAAATAATAGTATTTTTACGATAGAAAAAAGTAAAATATGTATTTTTGCAATAATATTAAAAACACTTTAATATTAAACTAAAACAGTCAAATCCTAAGCTAAAATATAGAAACAGTCAAATTCTAAGGTAAAATATGGTGTCATTTATACAGGGTGACTTTGAAGTTGAGTCATTAATTTTCAGATAATGATTGCAGAAGGAAGATAAACCAAAATATGTGTGTAAAAATAAAAAAAAATTAAAAAAAATGTTTACCTTGTTTCATAAGGTATCCTCCCGACAAGTATTTCAGTGCGGACCTGTATTTGATCGTGAGGTCTTGGAGCACCGGTATGCCCTCCCCTGTGAGGTCTTAAGTCACCTGATTCACGAGCCCGTTGTATTACATTAACAAAGGCACGAGGGGTTGATTGCACTCGATTGGGAAACCGATCCGCATAAACATGTGCCATTTTTTATTTCGTTTGAGCCACGCAGCAAACACCACTATTCACTCACGCGTTACCGACTGACACATTGACTGAATAAAAACATCGTAATCAGCGTTTCAAATTCTTTCGCTTTTTTGTTTCCGATGCGATGAACCGATAAGGCGGATTATATACGTTGTTGCCAAACACGAGCACATAATATTATTATTGAGACAGGGCGGTACTCAAACTTCTGGTACTTTAATTTTACCACAAAAATGTTAAAGGAAAAAACATTTCTTTTGATCAGATCTACTCACTGTTAAAATAAATGACTCAACTTCGAAGTCACCCTGTAAAAAAGAAAAGTAAAATATTGATTTTGAAATACAAAACGACTAATGGGCTTCATTAAAACAAACTAAGCAGTAGGCTGGCTTCCCCGCGCACTCCTCGCAGTGAGTGTAGACTTTTTTACCTTTTTTTCAGCTTCGCGACTATTCATTGTTCTTCTTAGTAATTTATAACATCCTACACATTTTCTCCTCTTTTTGTTTTCGGTTTCCCCTACAGTATGCGTATGGTATCTTTTAGGGTTCTTGGCCGTTCTGGTTGCAATTCTTCTCTGCCACACTGATAGAAATATTTCGCTAGTTTTTCTCTAAATTGGAGAATTGTGAACTTGCTAGTTGGATGTAGGTGATTAAACATAACCCAAGTATTGACGATTGCTGAATTAAAAATGAATTCAACTGCAATTTTTTTGTATCATTTTAAACTCTTTCGGAGGGGCTCTAGTAAGATGCCATCTAGTCACTGTAATCGACACCATTTTTTTTGTTATTGTAATCGATTACACACTGTAGTTTTTTTACAGTCTGCCCTTTTCTTATTTTTCCTATATTAACCTATCGTGATTTTCACAGGTTGAGAGCATCAGAACCGGTTATCTACCCACTTTATAATTTTTATACCCTCTGACTCTTTTCCAGCTATTTGATCCCTTTTAAGCTTTTGAGAAATAATATTTTTAGGAACAGTTTTGCGATTCTTTCTCAAGGTACCACAAATTCTTGATTTTTTGGTATTCAAATATTTTGCCAATTCCTAAGAAGTATAAAAATTATCGCAATATTCATAGTAGTCACTCTGCGTGGCTGACGGTACGATCCGTGTCTTCTTTACCCGAATAAATTTTGAAATTAATCACATATCTAAACATAAATATTGCAAAGTTTATAAGTTTCACACCATATTTGTGGGATTTATTTTTTATAAATTTTTTCATTCTTAGGCGACCCATAGACTCATCTATAACTACTTTTTTTGGAACAATCACTGCTTCTTTGAATGTCTTTGTCAAGCTGTCAATCAAATGGCGAATTTTGAACAGTCTGTCTTCGCCAGTATCATCTATGTTATTCATGAAATGCCAGCATCTTAAAATAATTAAAAATCGGTCCCTTGTCATACAAGATGATATAAATTTATTATGATATAAGGAATCTTTGGACCAATACAAATTCATTATTGGAGCGTTCACAATTCCCATGGCTATTACTATGGCAAAAAAGTTTTGCAATTCATTACTGGTTTCCATAAATTTAGTCTTGATTTAGGTAGGAAACAATTCGGTAGAGGGCACTGTTATATCGACCCAAGTTATAACAGATGGGCCAGGAGCATTTTGTGAGGCATTATTTTGGCTTAACGGGAACACATCTTGGGAGACTTCGAACACATTTTCATCACTGGATGAACTATCACCGGATGAACTTGGTATGTAATCTTCATAAAACGAACACTCGGACTCCGACTCACTTTACCTTGACATAGCTTGTGCAAGATCAACAAGTTTTTTCCACGAGACATTTTTGCGATTAGTGCCACCCACGACGGCGTATGCTTGCCAACTGAATAAATTTACTGTAAGGTATTGTGCTCTAATTCGAGAAAAATCCTGCATCGGCTTGTCGAAAATAATGATTAGATGTGGGTCGGGGTAAAATTGACCCGTAAACGTGTGACCCCGTACCGCAAGCAAGTAAAAATTAATAGGTTGTATGCGGTTCGGGGCCTATTTGGGTCGTACTGTTTTTTTGTCGAAGAAAAATAGTACTTAAATTGAAATTCTATAGCTATAAAAATCTTTTTTTTATCTTTAAAAATAAAAATTTGACAAGCTTCGCAATATGGAATAGCTTAGGCAAAATGCACACCGCACCAGGTGATAGTGCGATACGAGTCACATTAGCCCCGTAACGCAGTGAACGTGTTAATCAGTTTTTCGCGAGTAAGAGCATTCACTTATTTATTCAAATGACCTATGTAATGATATCCCTGGTCAATTTTCAACTTGAACGAAATTTATAATGAAGGAGTAGTGTGAATTTGGCATCTGAGCCCCTGAATTTTAGACTTGACGTGTGAATCCAATCTCACCTTGTTATCGAGTGCCCGGATATGCTATGTTATAACAAGGGTGCGCAACCAGGGCTAAAACGGCTAAAACAATAAACAGTAATACGAGAAAACTGGGAATAACGGCAATTTACGTGAGCGATAACCAGAAATGAAAACCGTCGGGCACTCATCAAATGTTATTTGTTATAAGGGAAGCCCCGGCTGTCGGTGAATACAGTAATCTCGCTCATGTGACATTATATGAATGGCTATTTATGCCGGGCGCACACGAGGAAATTGTACGTATCATTAGGCCCGCCCCAATCAAATACGTCTATCATCAAATACATGCCAATCGTGAATAGCAATTTGGGCGCTTCATAGCCCCACGCTCGTCATGCCATGTTTGCGATGTATTCACGGATACTCCACCTGTCTGGCCAACATTACTGTTATTGAAGGGAAGACAACAGGAGTTACACTGTTTAAAACAACTTCAAAAAGGGGAACTTACCATACACTCCATACAAGGAAAATAGAACATCCCGTAAAAAATGGCGTCAAGTAGCTGGATACAGTACAATACTTTATTGGTGTTAGTGTCCATACTATACTTACACAACTCAGTCTGTAACAAAACGTTTATAGTATACGTAGATAATAATCTTTTAATCCACTTTGCAGATGACAAATATGTATATACAGGGTGGCGCATCGAAAACGAAACAGACGCATTTAGTGGCAGCTGTTTTTTTTTTTTTTGGAAAAACGCTCAGTCCCGTCGATTTTGTTTTCGAGGGGGACACAAGTTTGGCAAAAAATCACGTTAACACGTGCAGCCCCCTGGGCGGGGGTGACACCAACCCTAAAATCTTAAATGGAAAGGAGGGTCGAGTGATACCTTATTTTAAAGATCTTTCAATTCCCTGTATAATGATGTAATATACGTGAGCTTCAATTCAGTAGTTTTGAAGATTTATTGATTTAAAGCTTAAAGTAGACTTTAATAGATACATCAGATTAGTTTGTACTACTTTCAGAAGAAATTTGACTAAAAGCATTCACTTAATAAGTAAATGCTTTTCTTCACTACGTCCATGCTTTATCATTTTGTTGTTGAGAATAGCTATTGGAGCGTTTTAAATTAATCATGGTATATTCCACAGCAGAAAGAGTTGACATTATCGAAATATTTTTCGGAAATAATCAGTGCGCTAATAGAACAGCAGACATATTTAATGAGCGACATGAGAACAGTAACATCGAAAATATGCTCTAGAACTTGTAGCTAAATTTCGGGATACTGGGTCAGTCGCCAATAGAAAACGCAACATTGAAAATCCCATAAGGAACGAAGCAATAGAAGTGGGGGTTTTAGGGCAAGTTTATGTAGATCCTACGTTAAGTACCCGCAAGTTGGCGACTGTGTGTGGTGTTAGTCGACGTACTGTCCAAGACGATTTTGATCGGGCGATTACAATTTTGTGAAGATATGAGTGAACGTTATAAACGATGAACATTTTCTATTCAACACTTGCTTTTCCGACGAATGTTCCTTTTTTTAAATGGCGTAGTAAATCGTCATAACTGCCGATATTGGTCCGATTCTAATCCCAGAATTTATCATGATGTTCATACACAGCAGCCACAAAAATTAAATGTTTGGGCTGGTGTTTTTGGCGATCGTTGAGATGCTCCTTTTTTCTTACCTGGAAATTTGACCGGTGAAATGTATTTGGAATTACTGGAAGACGCCATAGATCCTGCGTCTTCGACAATATTTAGATCAGACGTTTCCAGATCGATCGATTGGTAGAAGAGGTGCCATTGAATGGCTCCCAAGATCGCCAGATTTATCACCTTTGGATTTCTTTATGTGGGGTCATTTAAAAAGCAAAATCTATGCTACTCAGCCAACATCATTAGAAGACCTGCGACAAAGAACTGTGAATGAGTGCCGTCAAATTACTCCTCAAATATTGCAAAATGTTTGGCAACATTTTGAGCAAAATCTTTATTATTGCATGGAGAGTCATGGTGGCCATTTTCAACATTTACTTGCCTAACGGGTCAATTCGTTCTTCATTTTTAAATTACTTTGCTGCCAAATGTATTGATCTCCACTAATGATGATGTATTAGTTTTCTTTAAGCTTTAAATCAATAAATTTTCAAAACTACTGAACTGAAGTACATTAATTTTATATCATTATAAAGGGAATTTGAAAGACCTTTAAAATAAGGTATCACTCGACCCCCCTTTCCATTTAAGATTTTGGGGATGGTGTCACCTCCGCTTAGGGGGCTGCACGTGCTAACATGATTTTTTGGTAAACTTGTGTCCCCCTCGAAAACAAAATCGACGGGTCTGAGCGTTTTTCAAAAAAAAAACTGAGCTGCCAGTAAATGCGTCTGTTTCGTTTTCGATGCGCCACCCTGCATAATAATATATATAAAATAATTTAAAAAGCAATAACAGATACAGCACATATCAAAATTTAAAGTCCAAGAACTCATGGTATTAATAAACAGCATTTTCAGCAAGAAATCTTCTCATTGTCTGTTTAAAGGCATTTAAATTTAAGGATCGGATTTACAGTGGTAATTTGTTATAGTATTTGAGTGCAGTAATTCTTAAACCTTTCTGACTTTTCGTTAATCTTACAAAAGAAATATTCAAGTTCCCAGCGCTCCTTGTATCATAGTCAGTATGTGAGGTATGCGAACAGCAATTTAAATACTGTTTAGCATACATCAGTGCTTCATAAACATATATTGAAGGCAATGTGAGTATCTTCAATTCTTTGAATGCTTGTTTGCAATCGTCAGTATAATTCAGTGAATGCAATATCCTAATTGCCCGCCTCTGTAAAAAGAATAGTCGATGCCAGTCTGCACCCTTACCCCAAACTAAGATACCATATGATATCAAAGAGTGGCTTAGCGTAAAGTAAACTGACTTCAACTCGTACGATAAGCTTCTAAGTAGGTAAATGTGTTTTCTTAGCTTTTTTACTGTTTAATTACTGTTATATCCCATTTCAACTTCTTATTTACGTGTATACCTAGAAATTTTGTATGTTCTGTATGTTGTGTTTCTGGATCTTTCAATGAAAATATAAATTAACTGTATTGTTTTCATTCAGGGTCAGCTTATTTGCATCAAACCAGTTTTTGGTAGTCAACTGTGCGATCACACCTTACCCAAGAAGCTGACAAATGTTTTTTGATCTAACAGAGATGGCAGTATCATCAGCAAATAGTATATAATTTCCATCTTTGTCTCCCGGCAGATCATTGGTATGTATCAGGAATAAAATCGGCCCAAAAACTGAGCCCTGGGGTACACCGTGTTCAAAATGCTTTTCATCTGACGTTTTAATTCCGATTTTTACTAACTGTTTTCTATTTGTTAAATACGAATTGATTAGGCTGCAAGAAGTTGTACATTCTGAGCTTTTTGATTAAGATGGTATGTGATACACAGTCAAATAACTTGCTCAAATCACAGAATATGGTCTGCAAGAATTGTTTTTCTTCAAAAGCGTCAATTATGCGGTCGACCAACTCCAAAACTGCGAAGGTGTTTTTTGACATCGAAATCCAAACTGGCTAAAGTAGAACATGTTATTAGTTTCAAAATGTAAGACCATTTGTCTCACCAAGCATTTTTCGTAAATTTTGCTGAGAATAGGAAGTAATGATATTGGGCGATAGCTTGCGATATCGTCAGTATCGCCATTTTTGAAAACCGGTATCACAACTGCACGTTTTAAGCAGTCCGGAAATGTGCCACACTCAATTCAAATATTTATTAATTTGGTTAGAGGCATTATGATTTGATTTTTGATCGTTTTTATTAAAAGAGTGCTCATATCATAAATATCTTTAGGGTTCTTTTAAGAGAATTGATAACATTTTTGACGTCATTAAATGATACTTTTTAAAGTTGAAGTGGCGCATTGGTGGAAGTATATCAGTTTCTGGATGTAGCTCTCCTGCATCCAAGTTTTCTAACAGTTTGGTACAGAAAAAGTCGTTGAATTTATTTGGTTCTTTTGACGTATTCACACCAGTACTTGTACTTTTGTTTTTCCTAACAATTTCCTACATAGTCTTGATTGGATTGTTAGACCTTTTAATGATTTGTTCATTATAATTTTGTTTCGTTGCATTTATTTTTTGTTTATATTTTTTATTAAAGCTTTTTCTTTGTTATACAAGGAATTTAGGAAAAATACTAGGTACTTTTTCTGGGAATGCTTTATATATACGAGTTTGCAAGTTATCAATGAATATTTCAAATTTTTGTGTACAGTCCCAAGAACAGTCCTGAATGAAATCCCACTTCAAATTGTCTACAAGGTTAAAGAAAACTAACTTACAATACTCTGTCATAGATCTACACACCGTTTTGGTCGACTTGCGAGATGTCACAACAGGAGGATAGAATATCAATTTGTCGCCCAGATGATCAGAACTGAAATTTGAATCGATAGATGCTACACTTGAATCTATGTTGAAGTTTATAAAAATGTTATCAATACAATGGTTATTTCGTGTGTTCTCTTTTATATGTGTTCAAAACCATAAGTCGTTAGTACATCTAAGGTATTCTGCACTTCCTACGTAACGCCATCGTCAGTTCAAGAAGCACAAGTCAAACTCTATGAGACAAAAAATAGTTACAAATATTCACAATAGATATATCAAATTATTTCCCTGTCCAACCGGTAGCTACTGTCCATCGGGCAATCTTGTCCCTACCCTCATCGTCAGAAGCGGCAGCACCGCCGCAGTACGAGCAGAGCAATCAAGTAGACTGTTACGCGAGATGACCTTTCGTGACACCTCATATAACATCCAAAAAACATAGTCCCCCAGATTTCTCTCGCCAATCGAAACCACATGTTTTGAAAAAATATTTTTTACTGCAAACGTCTCGATCACAACGATGACTTTCTTCAGTACAATTGACAATATATTTTATTTATCTGTCTTCCAGGTGACACTTCGTTTGCTTTTCTTTTTCATATTCATATTCCTATACAGTGTGTTACTACAATAGCGTCAAAGGCTACGCTGGTTTTACGAGGGATGTCTTTTAAGTTTTGCATATAGAAACATAGTAAGCCGCGCGCGGATCGAACGCAAGTACTGAATCTTAACCTCAATCTTTAGTGAACTCAAATTCAAAGTTTCACAACGTTCTTACTACAGTGAATTTTTAAGTGTCACAAGTCATTAGAAAAATGGAACTCAACCGAGGACATTTTCGCGCCGTAATTTATTACAACTTTCAGAGACAATTATCGCAACAAGAATGCCTTGCTGAGTTACTGTCTATTTTCGGCAATAAAGCGCCACATCAGTCGACAATTTCCCGTTGGTATGGAGAATTCAAACGTGGACGGGTGTGTCTTAGCGACGATCCCAGGGTGGGTGCACCAAAAACGGCAGTCACCCAGGAAAACGTCGATGCTGTGCGCAAACTCATCATTGAAGATAGACATGTGACATATCGCGAGATTGAGGCGTCCTTGAAGATCTCAAAGACCTCAATTCAAAAAAATTTACATGAAGAATTAGGAGAAACAAAATTAGTTTCTCGTTGGATACACCACCTGTTGACTGAAGAGCAGAAAGAAACCAGGGTTAATTGGTGTCAAACAACGCTTGACCGTTTCAATTTCGGAAACTTAAAAAGTGTGTACAGCATTGTTAGTGGTGACTAATCGAGGATTTACTGTTATGAACCAGAAAATAAACGTCAGTCGGCTGTTTGGGTGTTCCAAGGTGAAGAAAAGCCAACAAAAGTAATCCGTTCTCGAAGTCATTCGAAAAAGATGGTCGCGACATTTGTGTCAAAAGCGGGTCATATTGCAACAATTCCTCTTAATGAGCAAAGAACTGTTGCTGCGGATTGGTATACCACCATTTGTTTGCCAAAAGTCATCACCGAGCTTCGAAAAATCAACCCCGAAAAAAGAAGCATCCCCCACCAAGACAATGCAAGCTCGCACACAGCCCAAAAAACAAGGCAGTATTTAACGGAAGAAAACGTGGAAATATTGGACTATCCTCCATATGGTCCCGATCTAAGTCTTAACGATTTCTTTACTTGCCTGAAAATTAAAAACAGACTGCGTGGTGAAAGGTTCCAGTCACCAGAAGAAGCAGTTGACGCATTCAAAAATGCCGTTTTGGATCTGCCAGCAAACGAGTGGAATAAGTGCTTTGAAAATTGGTTCGAGCGCATGCAGATGTGTATTAATCTTCGTGGAGAATACTTCGAAAAACAATAAAGTCATTTAAAACTACCTACCGTGTTGTTTTATTTCCATATGCAAAACTTAAAAGACATCTCTCATACATGGTGCCATCTGAACATTTGGAATGATGACATCGCGCAATGTCAGCAGTAATACGCGTATGTGCCACTATTTAAATAAAAGAACACAATACGCAGAAACAGATAAAGGGAATTCCAGCCCATCGGGTATACCACAAGGCTCTACTTCAGGTCCTCTTATTTTTAGTATTTAGACCTCCAACCTTTCCCAAGTATCCTAGCCACAAACAAAATAATATAAATAATAGAGACAATAATAATGTTAAACATTCTTTTTAAATGTTCTTGACAACCAAATATGTAAAATTGCTCAAAGAGTTAGCGTTTTTCATTTAAACATTCAATGTTTATCAAATAAAATTGACGAGTTATCCTGTTATTTAGGTGACACAAATTCTGATGCTGAACTTTTATGCCTCTCTGAACACTGGTTATGTGAGGATCAACTAAAAACGGTTAATATACCAAATTTTAATTTATGCTCTTGGTTTTGTAGGTCAGATCATGCTCATGGGGGTGTTGCCATTTTTGTTTTGGATGATCTTAGAAGTTCTTTTATCCCTGTCGATCTGAAGCCTTATACCAGCGAGCTGTCATTGGAATGCTGTGCTGTAGAATTAGTAACAAACAAAGCAATATTCATAACATTATATCGAACAGGTAAATCTTGTTTTTATGATTTTCTTCAGGGTTTTGAGGCATTACTCACTTATATCAGCCCTAAGTATAACATTATAGTCATAGCTGGAGATTTTAATACCGACTTCTGTAACAATTCATTACAATTGCAAGACCTGAAGTATTTAATAAAGACTTTTGGATTAAAAACAACAATTATAGATTATACGAGAGTGACCAACACAAGTACAACTTGCATAGATAATATTTTGACAAATTTAGACGAGTCTGAATATACAGTTTCTGTAACAGATCCCTGTCTCTCAGACCACTATGCCCAAAGTATGCTTGTACATTTAAATTCTATTAAAAAAGAAAATATTGTTCATACTAGGAAAATCACAAACGCTAGCCTAAATCATTTAAATCTCTCGTTATCCAACATAGATTGGACAAAATATTATGTCCATCATGATGTGATTAGTCTCTCTTCTTTTCTCGTAGAATCAATAAATGAACTTAAAGATTTATATTTTCCATTACAAAGGAAAAGCAACAATTTCAGAGACAGCCAGTAAAATGGTTTAATAGTGAACTTAAGACTGCTAGGTCCTCTCTTCAGGTTCTAAAAACAATATCGGAGCATCAAAAAGACGAACAGTCAAAAAATGCCTTTAAAACCTTTCAGAGACAATACAGACAAAAAATTAGACATGCTAAATATAGTGCATATAATAATTTTATTCATTCATCGGAAAATAAAAGTAGGGACTGTTGGAGGCTAGTAAATTTTGAAAGAAATAAATCCAAACCAATGACATTAACTGATATCACATCAGACATGTTTAACGACTTTTTTGTATCCGCAGCCAAAAATATAATAAAAAGCCTACCTAATCTTAATATTAATGAGCTAAATACCATAAATTTTAATAAGTGTAATAAAACCTTTTTTCTGGAGTCTGTTACATATCTAGATGTTTTGAATGCTATTGGTGAATTAAAAAATAAGCAATCTCTTGATATTTATGACCTAAACAGCAAAGCAATAAAACACTGTGCAAATACTCTTGCTACACCACTTGCTCATCTATATAACTCCTGTCTTTCTCAGGGAATATTCCCTGATGTTTTTAAGATTAGTAAGGTAGTACCAGTTTTTAAAAAAGGTGACCAATCTGATGTAAACAATTTTAGACCCATTTCCATAATTCCTATCTTTGGCAAAATTTTAGAAATAATTTTAAAGCACCGCCTTTTAAAATTTTTAAAAATAAATAACATCATTAATCCAAAACAATTTGGTTTTCAGCCAGGTCTGTCAACCATAAATGCACTAGCGGAACTTATTGACCACATAGTCCAGGGCCTTGAAGGGGGAAGAAGTGTACAAATTACCCTTTGTGACCTTAGCAAGGCCTTTGACTGTGTGGATCATGAGAAGCTGCTGTGTAAAATGGAGCATTATTATGGTTTTCGTGGGGTGTCTCTGTGCTTTTTTAGATCATATCTGACTGGAAGATTTCAGCTCGTTAGTAGTAATAATAAACATTCAGAAATTAAAGGTGTAAATTATAGTGTCCCTCAGGGATCCATACTTGGACCAATACTTTTTTCCCTTTACATTAATGATCTTTATTACTACTTATTACCAGATATTTGTGTATTGTACGCAGATGACACCACCCTTATAAAGAGTCACAAAAACCTTCATATATTACAAAGCTTATCTAAACAGCTTGAAGAAAAGGCAAACAACTGGTTTAAACAGAATAGCTTATGCCTATACTCAGACAAAACTAACAGGCTAGTAGTAACTAGTAACTCTTCTCTTGCAGAAAACAAATGTGTAAAATTGCTTGGCATAACAATTGACAGCTCACTAAAATGGACAAAGCACATTGAAACCCTATGTAGCAAATTAGCCACAAACATATTCTTACTAGGCAGACTAAAAACTTGCCTTAGTAATGAATGCCTTGTTAGTGTTTATTACTCCCTCATCGTCTCTCACATTCAATATGGCTTATTAATCTGGGGAAATTCTACCCATATAAATAGAGTCTTTATATTACAAAAAAAAGCAATTAGAATTCTTGCGGGAGCTGGTTATCGTGACCACTGTAGGCCACTCTTTATAAACTTGAATATGCTTACAATTTATTCAATGTACATCTATCAGAGCCCTGTTGAGATTCATGAGAACAAGCATAAATTCTCAATGCACTCGGATGTTCATGGATATAACACCAGGCATTCCAATCTACTTCAACCTAGCGCTCACAGGCTAAAGATCTCAGATAAAAACTCACTTGATGTTAGGGTATATAACAAGCTAAAAAACACTACTAAGAATCTTACTTTAAAACATTTTAAAAATACACTTTGGCAAGAATTAGTTAAACATCCTTTTTATTCCTTGAATGAGTTTATCGCGACCCCCCTATGTGTGTGATCTGGCCTACTACACCTTTATATTATATTTAATTTTATTTTTACCAATTATAGTTT